AAGAAAAAGAGTAATTTACTTTAATAGTACCAAAACATAATGACTTTCTCTAAATAGCACCACATGTGTTTTTCTTCCCAATATAGCATTTTTAGTCATTATGCATTAGTCATTATTCAAGCAAATATTCGTCATCACTGGACATTATGGACATTATTAAGTGTTATTTAGGGAATAAAACATTTTAAGTGCTATTTAGAAAAATGACCTAAGTTTTAGTGCTATTTAGTGCAAATATTTCAAAGAAAAAACTAATGTAAGCCATATATAAAATCATTATTTTAATAGAATGTAAAACTTTAATTTAGAACAAATAAAAAAGCATTTTGTAACTTTATTCTATAAGGGACAAGTGACAACTTTGTGAAAGTTAATTCATTATGAGCCTGCAATAGTGAAGTAGGATCCATCCAACATGAGTAGAGGCACAAGTGGTTGGTCTGTCGATTTAGCAATGTCTAGAGGGGAGGATCTAAATAAAAAGAGTTCTCCCAGGCATAGTTTTAAGAATTGGACCTGTGACCGAACCGGTCAAAGTATTAGTTCACTGGTTTACCGGTCGAACCAGTGGTTCAAGTGGTCGAATCGGTGGTTTGAGCATATTTTAAAAATTATATATATATATATATATATATATATATATATATATATATATATATATATATATATATATATATATATATATAGACACACACACACACATATACACACACTACTCAGTCACAATGGAGTGACTGCAAAATTAGTGACTTGCATTATTGTGGCACTACCACTGTGAGTCCAAGTACCCTGCCAGGCAGTATAGTGTTAGGGCATGGGCATGGAGGGGTGGGGTTTAGGGATTGATTACAGAATAGAAACCATCATTTTTACGTTTGGCCATCTACGATGCCCTAAACAAATTGGTATATAAATACATAACTGGTATCATTTTAGACGCTATCTTCAAAGAATCTAATGTTAGCTAGGGTTTTCCCAAACTATTAACAAAAAGTGAAATTTGCACTAAATAGGACTAAAACATAATGACTTTCCTAATATAAGACTTAAAGTTTTTTATTCCCTAAATAGGACTTAATAATGACCTAGTGGAAAAAATAATGTCCTGTAATCATGAACATTTAGTTGAATAATGACTAATTGATAATGACCAAAGGTCCTACATTGGAAAATAAAAACATATGGTCCTATATTGGGAAAGTCATTATGTTTTAGTCTTATTTAGGTAAATTTCTCTAACAAAAACAAGCAAATTGCGGAAGAATAATTGTACGGCCACCTTTGGCAATACCGATAGAAGATTGTGTTAGTGTTTTCAAAATTAATACACACTCACACTATAAAATTTATTCTGATATGCCAGTTCTAATTGAAAATTTTTTTCACAAACAAAGCCTACTTCTGTTCTATAAAAGTTTATTTTAATTTTTTAGATGTCTAAAAAAATACTTTTACTTTATCTCCTCTTGTAGTAATGAAATAAAAGTGGCTGATAAGATTTCTCTCATATTTAAATAAATTTTTATAATACTCCCTCCATTCCGGAATATTTGTCAATTTTTGATTTTTTTCGTTCAAAATTGGTAAGCTTTGACCCCAAATTATATAAAAAAGACATTAGATTTTGATACAAAAATAATTTTATAAAATTTGTTATATAAAATATTTTCAAAGTGTAATTTTATTTAATTAATATACAATATATATTTTATTTAATTATAGGTAATAGGTTAAAACGATTTAAAACTGAATAAATACTCTGAGGCGGGGGTAGTATACAAAGTACTACTCCTTTCGTCCGAGAATGATCTTTCTAAATTAACTCCTCACGTATTTTAATGAGATTGGAAAACATCTTAAATGTTTCTTTTACCCTTAATGAAAGGGGTAGACGGTAGAGTATACTAATTGAGGTGTCTATGTGCGATAAATGAAGAATGTAATAGTTGTTGTGGTATTTCAAATGTTAAAAAGAAAATAATAAGATGATATTTTCAGATGAAAAAATAGATTTGAGTAAAAATTTCCCGAACAGATGGAGTATTTACATTTCAAGATACGTCCTTAAAAGATTGTAACTTTTTGCAAAATGAAACAAAAATTTAAGGTTTTAAAATTAATTTTTTTAAAATATTGGTATAAAAATAAAAACAGAACTTGCATATTTTAAAACTATATTAAAATTTTTCAACAAAATGACAAAAATATTTTATTTTATTAAATATTAATGAAATACACAAACAAACAAATGTTCGATCATGTAATTTTGGAATAGTACAATATAGTACTCCTTCCGTCCCAGAAAACCTTTCTTCTTTCTTTTTTCATCCGTCTCAAAAAACACTTCTCATTTATATTAAAAAGTCACTTTTACCTCTTACTTTTTCATACGCTACCTATCACATCATACTTTTTTACTAATAATCTATCTATCAAATCATACGTTTACCAATCACATCAAAAGACATTTTTGAAAATTCAATATCAAAATACATTCCTCTTAAATCCCTTTCTAAAACCAAAACTCTCATGTTTTCTGGGACGGAGAGAGTAATTTTTTAGGGATAAGGGAGTACTTTTTTTAAATTTTTTGGAACTGCAGAACATTTACAATGGAGAGACCCACCGTGCCACAGCGCAATTGCTTGGTAAAAAGGGGTAAATTATGAGTGGATTCCATATCAGAAAGTGAATGCCTTTTCCTTCTGCAGGGCACAATTGCAGAAACAAAACATGAAATACCAAAGTTTGGTGAGTATATGGTTATTTTTAGAAAAAAAAAACATTTTTAGTTGATGTTAGAGGTCCACAGAAAAAATTAAGAATTTCATATTTTTATATCTTAAATAAGTGTTACAATTTTAATATCGTTAACATATAATACCAAAAAGTATGTATTGTAAAATATCAATATACAGTGTCTTAATGTTACAGTACAAACCCCTATTTCGAGGATAAAAATATGAAATTTCTATTTTGGAGATAAGAATTATGTTCCACTCTAATTTGAGGCGATTTCTTTAAATAATGCAAAATAAATCACTCTAAATAAAAACAAAGCATAGTAAAAGTAACAAAATAAAAGCTTCAACCTTTTATCTTCAAAGTAAGAGTTTGTACTATGATAATATACGTTATATATGGACATTTTACAATATTTTTTGATATTATATATTGCCATGATTAACATTATATATGTATTGTAACTTCTATTTTGGGAGTAAAAACATGAATTTCGTATTTTAAATATTTTTTCTATGTTTTATTTCTATTTTAATCTTTATCCCATAATACAACCATGTTAGGTGTACTCCAAAGATTACGTAAAGTGTACCCAAAAGATTTAGATTTACATTTTAATAGTTTAAATAGGCACAAAATTTTATTGAAATTGCAAATTTTCACATTGACATCTTGTGTCAATGTAAGTCATCAATCTCACACTTATACTAACACAAAATGTAACCTTTGATGTACATTGTTAAAAAACGTGGCCTCCACACCAATCAATAATGCATGTAAAAAAGATAATGGGATGATCTTATTAACTCCAACAACATTCAAATGTGTGTGTAAAGTAGGGTTATTTCCGAAATAGACGCGATCAATCCGTTTGTACTCTATGCGAGTCTTCGGGTATGTTTATGAGTAATTTACTTAAATAGCTCTAAAACATAATAACTTTTTCTAGATAGCACTACACGTGTTTTTCTTTCCAATGTAGCACTTTTAGTCATTATGCATTAGACATTATTCAAATAAATATCTGTCATCACCGGACAATATTAAGTATTATTTAGGGAATAAAACAATTTAAATGCTATTTAGGGAAATGCTGCAAATATTTCATGTTTATTTGATGAATACACATGTATATTCATTCTAGATGCCATTTGATTAAAGTATTTTGATACTTCGTATATCTCAAAAAAAGTAATTTGAAATTAGTCACACAATTTATTTAGTTTCTCAATAAAAGAAGGCAAAATTCGATATATAATGGATCTAAGGTCTATCATTGAGCAACATATGAGCAAAATAAGCATTTTCTTACTACTTATATAAAAAAAATATTTTTTTAAATAAAAAATAAAAAAAATATTTCTTATACGAGAAGATTCATAAAAAATTAAAAATAGTATACAATAAAGACTATAGAACCATCTTCTCTCCGTATGAAATTGCAAATTGTTTCCCTTCAAAATCTATTTTTGTTTGACACTTTGGCCTGCATGGCTCGATGTAGTCCCCCGGCCCGAGTATGGGTATGGATATAGCTCTCACCCGAGGAGTAGGAGAGGAGTCGCCCTCTCTCCCTCCTTCTCTCCCACTATCATCATTCATTCCCACCCGCAATCGTTTCATTACATACTTCCCAAAACCCATTTCTTCACGGATTCATTTTCTTGATGATATTTTGAAAGGCGATGCGCTAATTGACTCTGGATTTCGTTTCAGTCCGATTTTGCCACGGCGTGCTTCCTTTTCTTTTCCTTGTTTCAAAAACAAAAAGATTGAAGATTTGAAGTGTGTGTATCAGTAATCAAACAGTGTACGGCGGAGGGTTTTTAGTTCAGCGCTTGGATTTTGCATGGAACGTGTTTGTTTTGTTGCCCAGCTGAATGATGAAACTTTGCACGTGTTTTTGTACCCATGAATCATTTTGTCTCTTTGACTCGTCTGCTTTAAATGAGGCTGCTGGGACCTGGGAATCTGGGATATGCAATTAAGAATCTTTTGGTGGCATACAAAGTAAACATCCTGGACTTTGTGGTAGACCCCAGCTTTCAGCTTATGGAATTATGTATATGGATCCCATTGTCTTCTTGCTCTTCTCTTTCTTTATGTCCATCCATCTTTTCTGGTTTTAGATTCCTTAGTAAGGATTTTAGTGCCCATCTTATTCTTCTTTCCCAAAAGTTGTTTCGCGTTGGACTTTTACTATTGCTCTTAAGACTTCGTCTTGGTGTGCTAATGTTTGTTTAATCCAAATGCTGCAGGGCCGCGACGCTAGGACTCTGTCAAAATATAATCAGTTGAAGAGGTTGAGGGAGAAATGCCTGGGAACAAGTATGTTGAGACTTCGGCGGTCACCGCAACCACCACCACCACCACAAGAGTGGAGAGGCTCTTGAGAGAAAGAGAACTGAGGAAAGTCGGTAAACCTAATCAGTTGAATGACTCTGTTGGTTGCAATGGAGGAATAGAGCTCTCTGATCGTGACTTGGATCAAGTTGAGGCTGATGACCCGGGAGTTCCCCAGGTGGAACAATGTGTAGAAGGAGCTCCACGAGTTCTTAACGAGGAACGTGAAGCGGGTAATGGGAATCCAATTAGACAACGACTCTTGGTTGTGGCAAATAGGCTGCCAGTCTCAGCAGTGAGGAAAGAAGATGGTTCTTGGGCATTGGAGATTAGTGCTGGCGGTCTTGTTACTGCTCTTCTTGGTAGTCTTTGTGTGATGATTTTCCTTTTTATGATGGTATTATCCAAACCTCGATGAGCAGGGAGATGATATTCCCAAGATATTTCTTTTTGGTAGGTATAAAGGAGTTTGAGGCCACATGGATTGGTTGGGCTGGTGTGGATGTCTCTGATGAGGCCGGGCAGAAGTCACTTAGTAAAGCACTGGCTGAAAAGGTGCACTAACCTTGTCTCATTTATCACAGATTTACTCATTTTTGAATTCTGTTTTGCCTTTGGTAACTGCTGATGTCATTTTTATAATAATTACTCCCTCCATCCCGGAAAAGGTTCCACATTTATTTTTTCATTTGTACCAAAATAAGGTTCTGTTTTCCTTGATTACATGGTTTACATTGCTTTTCTCTCCTCTGCATAGCTCTAAACCACTAAATTTCATCTTTCTCAATAATCGTGTTTGGTCAAATGTGGAACCTTAATTCGGGACAAAGGTAGTATAATAATTCCCACAAACCTTTCTTTTACACTATGACATCAATCATATCAGAGGTGTGTTCCTGTTTTCCTGGATACGGCAATTGTTGATCAGTATTACAATGGTTACTGCAATAATATATTATGGCCACATCTCCATTATCTTGGACTTCCACAAGAGGATCATCTTGCAACAACCAGGACTTTCCAGTCCCAGTTTGATGCATTCAAAAGAGCAAATCAGATGTTTGCTGATGTAGTGGCTGAACATTATAAAGATGGCGATGTTGTTTGGTGTCATGACTACCATCTCATGTTCCTCCCAGAATGTTTAAAGAAGAACAACAGCAAAATGAAAGTCGGCTGGTTTTTGCATACACCATTTCCATCTTCAGAAATCCATAGGACACTGCCCTCTAGATCCGAACTGTTGCGTGCACTTCTTGCTGCTGATTTGGTTGGGTACGTTCTGCATTACTGATCAATGATTGTTTTTTAATCGAATTGAGACTTAAAGTGGGCTACTTGAATTGCTTGCTTAGTTACTTTTTTCTAAGCTGTTCAAGCCATCAGGGTCTCAGTAATCGATTGACAAGACTGTAGACTACACATTGCGTTCCCTATGAGGGGTTTGAAATATCTCCTCAGACTCCCTCTTGTATACATACGTCTGTTTTCTAATCTTTAAAATGGTCTTTCCCTATTGCAATGTGGAATTCAAGCACATAATATTGATTGTTAGCCGTCCATTGCCAATGGAGTTAAAAGAGTCATCATTAACAATGTTTTAGTAACGGGCACATAATGGATGGACTAAATCAAAATGGCACATTTAACTCCCTTGATTCTTATTTTCTATGAATTTCTGAGCAGTAAATGCAGCAATGCATTTAGGGTCTAACATAGACAGCCTCTCTATTTTCACAGGATGAGACTGTACATCTTGATCCCCCGGACCCCAATGCAGTTGGGATTAAACTGGGTTGTTGTTGTTGTTTATTTAATATTGATTCATTGATTGTTATGTTCATGGGGAACTTGACCAAGGGAAACATGTGTTCTCCTACTTAGTCTTTGCACTGCTACGATGTAGAACTTAATATCTCCAACCAATAAGGTATTGGATGTCTTGCAATCTCTTAGTGATGTTGCACATATCATGTGCATGTTTCAGACAATTCATTACTATCTATGTTTTCGATGCCAATACAGACATCTTTGTACCTTTAATATTCCTAAATCTGATATGATAACTTTAATTTTATTGGAACTTTGTAACATCAAAGAGTTTGTTGTTGTTGTTGTTGTTGTTATTCTTATAGTTATTATAATATGAGTAATATATTTTTTCCCCAGTTTTCACACCTATGACTATGCAAGACATTTCGTTAGTGCATGCGCTCGCATCCTTGGGCTTGAAGGTACTCCTGAAGGAGTAGAGGATCAAGGGAGGCTTACTCGTGTAGCTGCGGTATGCTATAGTTATGTTGATCCTTTTGGTTATCTGACACAATAATTGTTCTGGGAAAGCTATTGCTTCCATGGATGCGTTTCTAATTGGTTTTCTTTTTGCTTTGACCTCACTCACAGTTTCTGTTACAACTCTTCTCATTTCCTTGTATTCAGTTTCCAATTGGAATAGACTCGAAGCGGTTCATTCGAGCAATTGAATCACCCCAAGTGCAGGCTCACATGAAAGATCTGCTGCTGCGATTTGCAGGGAGAAAGGTATGCTCTCCTTTTCTGGAAACTCTTTGGAACTTCAAAAGCTCTATTTCTAAAATCCTAATGTTATTTGTTCTATAAGTCAAAAAAATTTATTTTTGAATTTAGGTTCATGAACCAGCCTAGTTCAGCCTGGTTTGTACTTAAAATCTTGACCTGGGATTTAGTTTCATACCTGACAAGATATTCCAGGATGTTCATATTTTTTTCGATTACCTCTTCCGTCTGGAGTTTATTCATATCTAAACCTACTAGTGTAGGCTACGCTGATGCTGCATCTATCATTTAAAACAATACTCCAAATTTATGGTTCTTTTTTTCATTTTACCAATTTCTTAGATATTGGAAAGAAATTAGACAACATGTTTTGCTGTTTTTTTCCAACTAGTTTTGTTCCTCATGTGTTTAAAAACGCAGTGTTCAGTGTACTCTTCTTCAAACTATTCAAATTCAATTTCCATAGTTATGGATATCTTTTCCTCATTCCCATTAATTATATGTTTTTTATCACCTTGTTTTTTTGGCATGTTCTCACTCACTCATTCTCACACACCCACACCCTCACTCACGAACACACGCGCACATGCGCTAGCTTGCATGTGAATTCTCTTTTCACAGTTTTAATTATTTATTTCCTTGCAGGTCATGTTAGGGGTTGATAGGCTTGATATGATCAAAGGAATTCCCCTGAAGATACTAGCATTTGAAAAGTTTCTCGAGGAAAATCCATATTGGCGTGATAAAGTGGTTTTGCTGCAAATTGCTGTGCCCACAAGAACAGATGTTCCAGAATGTATGCATTCATTCGTCTCTATAATCTAATTTGGAATTTCCATCCTTCGAGGGCACTGCGCTCTATTAAACGATATGTTTGGTATCGTTGGCAATCAGATTTTACAAACTATTGGAATCTCCTATAAGGTTTTCCTGTTACGTGTTCATTTTCTACCACTGTAATTAAGATATATTTTCTAGTTTCAAGACCTTTAAATAAGAATGTGGATTTTGATTAAAAAAACTAACACACATAGACAAGCATACTATGTATAGTTTTAATAATAACAAATAACTATTGATGAAGTTTTGACTAAGAGTTGAGTCACACTTGATATTTGTGTTAAAAAAGTAAGTGTGGGTCATATTACTAATGTTGATACCATTCATAATGTTGATGATACATATAAAATGTGTAGTCTCACTATGAGCTCAATACACAATAAATATAAGACCTAGATATACACTTACATGTAATACTTACCTTATCCGATTGAATTGTTGTTCCCCCACTGTAAAGCGCTATTAATCCTCTACCAGTTACTCCTCAAGTATGTTGAGTACTACGTTAATATATTCCGTAATTATTAGATCTCATTTGGAAATTCTTGTGTCTTTGCAGACCAAAAATTAACCAGTCAGGTCCATGAGGTTGTTGGACGCATCAATGGGAGATTTGGAACTGTGTCTTCTGTTCCCATTCACCATCTGGTTTGTCTTTTCTTCAGTCATTTATATTTACGGTAAAATACAAGGAATATGTACTGTTCTTGAAACATTATACTCGCTCTGTTCTTGAACATTGTTTGACTTCACGGAGTTTAAGAGAAGTGTTGAAAAGTAAAAAATAGGTGGTTAGAATTTGTTTACAAGAGATAAATATTGTGAGCCACATATTCTTTTCCTTGGAAAAGAATGTGAGAAGTGTGATTTTAATTTTGTGATGCCGAAAATGAAGTGACTTTAATTTAGGGACAAACATGTAGACCTACATCAAATTTCACCATATGCCATGGTAAATAATCCCACCTTTGATTGATGTCATTACATTAGTTCTCTCTTTTCTTCCTTTTTTTCCCGCCTTGGTACATGGGCTATGGTGTCAAACTGTTTTCTTTTCTTCGCCATGATAACTATCTTTTGCATGCGTTAATGAGTTGTGTTGCATCTGTTTCACTGTTTCCACCAAGTCTCTATGTTCTCAAATCGTTGCTGACCATATTAATGTTTTAGTTTTGTTTCTATGTCATCTTTATGCCATTTGTTGCCTTATTGATTAAATTTCCATTTTTCTGCTTTAGATTTGCTTGTGTTGGAAAATTCTATACATGCAAGTTGACACTTCCGTGTCAGTGAATATTGGTTGAAATCCTTTGTGGTTTACTCATTATTATTAGATAAATAATTAAAACTTGAAAACAACTATTTACTCCTCAAGTTGGCAACTTCGTTAGTACTAATTAATACGGAGTATTCCATTTGATTTTTTTTAAAAAAAAACTTTTATTCCGTTGATCTGCAGGATCGTTCACTTGACTTTCAAGCTTTATGTGCACTCTATGCCGTTACTGGTACGAACTCTAAATGCTCTCTTTACAGAGATAATCATATGTCATCCTCTAAGTCATCTTTGAAGTTGCCTAATGACATTTCTGATTTAATTTGTCGGACTCTTATTACTGATCAGATGTTGCACTTATCACATCCTTACGTGATGGAATGAATCTCGTCAGCTATGAGTTTGTGGCATGCCAGGCATCAAAAAAGGGGGTTCTTATTCTTAGTGAAGTAATCATTTTGCTCTCTTAATTTGTATGATTTTTCTGTTTTCTGAAACGTAGAACGTCATTTGTCAGAAATTCTAGCTACAACTACAGCAATACATTTTTTTCAAGTACCTTATGTCATTTTTTTTATTCTTACTGGGCATATTTGCAGTTTGCAGGTGCAGCCCAATCTTTGGGGGCAGGAGCAATCCTTGTTAATCCATGGAACGTCACAGAGGTTGCTGCTTCTATCAAACAAGCATTCGAAATGTCAGCTGAAGAACGCGAAAAACGTCACCTGCATAACTATACGCATGTGACCACCCATACTTCTCAAGAATGGGCTGAAACTTTTGTGAGGTTTGTACAACTAGATAACTTTAATTCTTTCTCCTTCTCTATGGAATGAACTACAGCAACTTATTGCCTAATTTTCTGTCACCCAAACAAAATCCTGGAATCATGCTGTTCAAAACCATTATGGTAGGGAAAGGATAATGATTATGTGATGCACCAACGTTGTTCTTATACAGAAAAACCCCATTTTCCCTGCCAATTTCACTGATGTTCCGCTTCTTCATGTTGATTGTTGCAGTGAATTAAATGACACTGTTTTTGAAGCTCAGCAAAGGATAAAAGCAGTTCCACCACGACTAAACACCAGTGATGCAATTGACCGCTACTTGCAGTCCAATAACAGATTACTCATATTGGTATCAAAGCCCTGTCCTGTTTTTTCCTCTCTTGCTCCCTGTTGAGGGTTGTTATAGCAACATGTACCAAAAACCATTTAAAGTTATAATTTAAAAAACGCCACACAGGGTTTCAATGGTGTGCTAACAGAAATGGTGGATAGACCTGAAAGAAGAGGCCGAGATCAAATTAAAGATATGGAGCTTAAGCTGCATCCCAGTTTGAATGGACCTCTAGCAGCATTGTGTAGGGATCCAAAGACAACTATTGTTATCCTCAGTGGAAGTGACCGAAGTGACTTAGATGCTGTACTACAAGCTCTCTCTCTCCCCCAAATCCAAAAAGATCTCCTCATATTCTTAAATAAAAACTCAAAAACTGGCTTTTTTGCAGAACTTTGGTAAGTATGACATGTGGTTGGCAGCAGAACATGGGATGTTTCTTAGATCAACAAACGGAGAATGGATGACTACAATGCCAGAACTTCTAAGCATGGATTGGGTTGACAGTGTAAAGGTATGAACATGTGGTGGATCGTTATCTAATTGTCGTCAATGAAAGTTGAATCACTGATGTTACACATATTTAATTTCTACAGCATGTATTTGAGTATTTCACCGAAAGGACTCCTAGATCCCATTTCGAAATGCGCGAAACTTCACTTGTTTGGAATTACAAGTATGCAGGTAACTAGTGAATCTTTATTAATCTGTTTTTTATGCCCAATCATTTTCCATGCTTCCTAATCTTGCTTCTATATGTTTCATTCTTGGTTTGAATTTCAGATGTTGAATTTGGAAGGTTGCAAGCTAGAGATATGCTGCAGCATCTCTGGACAGGCCCAATTTCTAATGCTTCTGTGGATGTGGTACAAGGACACCGTTCTGTTGAGGTTCGCGCAGTTGGCGTTACAAAGGTGATGTCATCCCCCCTCCCTTAATGGAAGAAAACAATTTCCTCCTTCCGCAATCAGTTGTCCGCTTGCTAAAAACTTTCCTATTAAAAAAAGAGTTTAAGATACGACATTCAGACAAGTCATTCAAATAAAACTGTCACTCATTCAATATCATAAGTCACAACCCCTATTTAAGACAATTGGTTATATTTTTTTTACTTAATATGGAAATCGGACAAGTGATTCCCCTTGGATCCATTCCTCTTCACACAAACATGGACTGATGGAGAGCGGTTTGGTTTGGGTTTTTGGGTCACAGGGAGCAGCGATTGACCGTATACTCGGAGAGATAGTTCACAATGAAGCCATCACCACTCCCATTGATTATGTGATGTGCATGGGGCATTTCATAGGAAAGGTATTGGAATTCTTCTTCATCTTCACTTCTTCCCAACTCGCGACAAGTGTGTCCTTTCCTCTAACCAAGCAGGTTGTCTCGTCCACAGGATGAGGATGTGTATTCCTTTTTTGAACCTGAACTTCCTTGTGATGGCATGGGAGTCACAAGATCCAAGTTACATGATGCAATGAAGATAGGAGGAGAGAGGAGAAAGAGTTCATCAAGCAGAAGGACTAATAATAACCCCGTGCCGATGCCAAACCAGCACCACCACCATAATACATCATCTGGGGGCGACATACAGTCACCGCCCATAAATGGTGCGTGGAATGTGTTGGATCTCAACAAGGAGAACTACTTCTCCTGTGCAGTAGGCCGCACTCGTACAAATGCTCGATATCTCATCAACTCTTCTGAAGATGTGGTCACCTTCCTAACTGACCTGGCTGCGGCATCGGCTTCCACCTCACCATACTAATAGGGTGGGGTTAAGTCCACATCCCTTTTTACATCACATGGACAATTTTACTCTTAAAAATTGCCTATTGTTTATTTGCCATAAATGTGTGAATTTAGCAAAAAAAGAGATGTGGATATAACCACACCCATTGTATTAAGACGAATTTGTGGGATCTTCTATTGCCATTTTCCTCATTATCAACCACCCTACCCCACCGAGAAAGTTTGTCATGTGAGTTTTGACTTATATGACCTAAGCAATGTCTGTACTTATTTTCTTCAATGAATCCAGTGAGATATTATTGAGCCATATAGTCCGTGTGTTTCTATGTTTCTGTTGCACCATCATGTGGCAATGTGATAAATAATTACCCTTCCCAAGGGATAATAATGAAATCTGTGATCAAATTTTTGCCTCTGCTAAATAATATGTTAACCTTTCGGATCCATATCAAACTTGTTTGGAAATGTTGCTTAATTAACACTACTGTACAAAGTGCATGGAGTGACCTATACCCCATGATATCCTTACAGTGATCATCACTCCCTTCATGTGGGATAGTGTGTTGAGTTGTATATGCATATATGGGACTCACACTCACTCTTAGGCTGCAGGCTATGGATACGATAAAATAAATTTGGTACCAAAACAAGAGGATAACACTACCCCTTACTATTTGGTACCAAATTCAATCAATAAAGCCGTCTATTCTGTTGCCAATGGACGAAATTCCTTCTCATTTGACACTAATTCAGTCTTTGTATTGTGTTGCCAAATTTATGTAATATTTTTTTCTTTAAAGAAATTAAATATTTAATTTTTCTAAAAAAATATTTAGTATTATGAGTTTAAAAATGGTTATTTACTTAAAGTAATTGTAGTAAGTTGGCGAATTGGATTACCTATACCTCCACTTAATTGTAGTAAAACAGTAAATTTAATTAATTATTTGAATTAAATAAGTTGTAATGGTAATTTCCTATTTGCAAAAATACCTTTACTTTTTCAAATTTTAAATCATAAGAGTATCATTTTGTACCCCTTTGTCATGACTCTATGTTTTTTTCATCTTCTATGTGGCATTGTGCGAGTAAAAGTATTAGTTTAATTTATATTATTTGTTGAAGTTAATTTATTTTAAAATTAATTTATACTTTTAATTTAAGTCAAATATTTTAAAAATAGCCACAGTAAGTTTGCACATTGGTGTATGTACACCCCTAGTTTTACTATGAAAAGTATGAAATAAGTGAAATCTGATGTGGTGCTAATGTGAAGAAGGAAGATAATACGTTAAAAAAGAGTATGAAAGGTATGTATACCTTCCACTCCTACGGAGAAGTTTTTTAGTTCTTAAAATTAATATCAATCATATATTGTTCGTGTCTAAATTTACATGTCACTAATCCATGTAACAAAACAAGAGACGAATAAAACAATACTTATTATGAATCTTAATTGAAATAATTGGACATAAATAATCCAACGATCTTATTCTACATTGTATTTTATATCAAAACAATAAATGATTTGAAACTAAAAATGTTAATTTTACATTAGAAATTACTAATTTCATATCATTTATATTTTTCTTTATTTATGAAAAAGAATGATTCAAATAAAAAAATATACAAGACATTTTTTATTTTTTTAAAAAAATAAAATTACTATATTATTAAAAATATATACCTCTCAAATAAATGTTAAAGACAATCATTACGAGTTAAAAGAATAGTTTATGCACATTTATGAGTTACATCATGTTGGGGTATCCCTCTCCTAAACAATACATTTAGTGTTAAAAATGTAATTTGTTTAGAGGTGGAGTAATATAATAATAATAATATTTATTATTATTATTGTTATAAAGAAAGGAAAAGAAAGTGTGGTGATGGGGCTACACTTACCTATTATTGGGCTACCACTTTTTTGAAAGGAAATTGCCTTTCTTTGTTTTGGCTGGTCACGGGCAGAAAGGAAGCTGCACAGCAGCAGCAAAACAGAGAAGAAATGGGGTGAGAGCCGAGAGAAGGAAGAAGAGAGAAAAAGAGAGGTGCAGCCTGGTTTTGTGCTCCGATCAAAGACCAAACGAGCTCCGATCGGGATGAAATTTTAGTATGTTGTTCCTCACATCCTCTTCTTCATATCCAACGGTGGGATTGTTGTTTTGACCTCTCGATGTGGGTAAAACTGCCTCTGTTTACTGCTGCGTTTATTTGGGGATTTCTCACTTTTGAGTGAAGATTATTGTTGTTTGGTGATCCAAGTTATTACTTGATGATTGTGTGTACCTCTAATTGATTTAGAGGATTCTTGGTGTACCCACTGATTTTCTTGCTGATTAGTGGAAGGCTTCGTGGTTTTTTCCCCAATTTGGGGTTTCCACGTTAAATCTTGGTGTTCGTTTATTGTTTGATTGATTGCTTGTTGACGTGTTTACTATTCTTGATCGGTCATATGATTTTGCCCATTTTGACAACACAAAGACGGGAAAATTATTAATTGCTTCCGCTAGAAAATTGAGGTGATTTTCCCAACACATCATTCTTAAAGAAAGAAAATAGAGTACCCAACTAAAAACTTTGTAAACTAGAAGAAGTTGGAAAAAACTCGAAGAAGTTTGAAGAAACTGGAATGAGTTTTGTTACCAAGGCAGTAACATTGTGCGGCGAAGGATGAAAAAGAGAGGAAGGGAGAAAGAGAGAGAGAAGGGTTAGAAATTTTATTATTCTTCTTACTTTAATAACTTTAGGTTACACCTCCACTATAGCAAAGAGATGAAGCCATATTCTTATTAAACTAAATTTTCTATCCTGTCAGTTTAATAAAAGCATCGGGGTAAAGAACAAAAATAAACTCTTGAAAGAGCTTATAATATGCTCACCTAAAAACTCTATTATTATAATAATGATGATGAATTAATCATTTAAAATAATCTGCTAAATAAAATCTTCAAAACGTCGTAGACGTCGGGTGTTCCTCCTTGGACGACCAGATTGATCTTGTGTGTCACTAGCTTCGTTAACAT